CATGTCACATTTTGTTAAAATCCCCCAATGTACAAAAATCTCAGAACGGATGTTTTTCATCTCAACAATAGAGAAAACTGTATATAGTGAGACACGATACCAGACATACCGAGAAATAAACTTGGGTTTGCATGAAAATCCCAAAGATCTCCAATTCACATGATCAGATACAAAAGGTCATTTATAAGATGCCAAATACACCTGGAAATGAACGTACCAATACTCTAAAATCGAGCTGGCGAGCATTGCTTTTTAATCCTTAATTTTTTTCACTCCCACCTTCCAAGTGCACTGAATCATCTCCCACTCATAACTACAGAAGGATGACATCACTGCTGCTCCGTAATATTTCATATGTTCCACCTTAAGATGGCCTTTCCATGGATACTTTACAGCTCTAACACAAAGTGTGACATTTTGTCAAATGACCACTGTGAAGAAACCTGGTAGATAAGGTGTGCCCTCTGATAACACTTCAGAGAAGCAGAGATTGTATCCATTAACCCAACGAGTAATATCTCTCACATGGCTATGTACTTTACTCTAAATGGCAATGTAATAAAGTCGTTTTTCAAAGAGAACCAGGCAACCTGCCAGATCCTGTATCAGTCTCCAGGCACGGGGGCCCTGCCAAGTCATGTGTAAGGCTTCCTCATGGCATGGGGGGCCTATCAGGTCTTACATCAGTCTACCTCACATAATGGGGGGATGCCAGTTCATGCATCATGGCACATGGGGGGCCTGTGTCAGTCTGCTGCCTGGCTAATGTGGCAACCTGTCAAGTTATCATGGGCAAAGTGGCTCACCGGGTCATGCATGACTCTCCTGGCTAATGTGGCAACCTCTCCAAGTTCAGTCTCATGGCTAATGGGGGCAACCTGTCAAGTCGCCATGGGAACAGGGGGGGGAGAGGAGCTCACCAGGTCATGTGTGCGTCTTCTAGCTAATGTGGCAACCTCTCAGATCACTGTGGGCATGGAAGGCCTGCCAGTTCACGTCAGTCTCCCTCTCTTGCCAGGTCACACAGAGCACACATCAGTTTCCCTAATGGCTTGGGAGACTGCCAGGTCACATGACAATCTTCATGTTGCCATGAGATTCTGCCACATCAATTGTTAGTCTGCCTGGTGGCACTGGGGCCTTGCCAGGTCACACATCAACCTCCAAACTAATACGACAGCCTGTGAATTTACTAATGGCAAAGGGGCCTCCTACCTGGTTGCATGTCAGTTTTCTATCCTCCCCCTCTCATTTAATATGCATGCTTCTCCCTCAATTAACATGTTACATACTCTCCTCCCACCTACCTGTAATTTAATATATATGTGTATGCCTTACATAACATATTGCCCCCTCCACCGGTCATCTAATATGTTGGTTCCTCCCTCATATAACCTAGTATATACTGTACTCTTCCATACCCCCCCCCCCCCTTCTACCTGTCATCCAGTATGTATGTGCCCACCTAATATAACATAGTACATACTCCCTCACAGTACCTGTCGTCTAATATGTATGTGCCTGACTCATATAACATAGTACATACTCCCTCCCCGTCATCCAATGTGTATGTACATGCCTCATAACATAGTACATACACCCTCCCCGTACCAGTCATCTAATATGTATGTGCCTGCCTCATATAACATAGTACATACTCCCTCCCCGTACTGGTCATCTAATATGTATGTGCCTGCCTCATATAACATAGTACATACTCCCTCCCTGTACTGGTCATCTAATATGTATGTGCCTGCCTCATATAACATAGTACATACTCCCTCCCCTTACCAATATGTATGTACATGTATTGTTACTTATATATAATTTGTATCTGGTCTCTCTCCACATGTATGTGATCTGCTTCAGCCTATAATGCAAACATATAATAACGCCAGTGTTCCCTCTCACAGAAGGTACATTCAGGCACATGTATACAATGAGGTCCGGTCACACGGGTACGGTCTAGGTGATACGGGTCCGGTCACACAGGTACGTTTTACGTGACACGGGTCCGGTCACACAGATACGTTTTACGTGACACAGTTACGGTCTATGTGAAACGGGTCCGGTCACACAGGTACGGTCTACGTGATACGGTCCGATCACGCACGTACGATCTATGTGATGTGGCCACGGAAGATGTCAGTGCACACCCCCCTCCGGCCGAATGTGTCAGACCCTCCGTACTTTCCGGCTGTGGCACTTCCGCACCAGTCCCTCTGTTCAGGTACCGGCTCCCCGCTGCTTACCGGTGTTGGCCCGAGCTTGTCTTTTATAAGCCGCTATGTGCGCAGAGTACTCCCCCGCTCCGTCCGTTCCACAAAAAAGACAATGGGCCGCGCAAGCATCGGCAGAAGGAGCGCCCTCTGCTGGTCAGGAGGACAATACGCAACCTCTGACGTCACTCATAAAGACCTGTATCAATAGAGCGGGGCTGCGATGCGTGGCTGGCTGAGGGCTTTTAGTCCGGTGCAAACATCTTCTTACGTGATCGGTGACTCCGTCTATTTCAAAAACATTCTATAATATGCTCCCCTCCCCTATGAAAGATGCCTCTCTATATACTTCTCACTTCACCCTCTCCAAGAGCTCTATGGGCTCCTGAGAGCTCTCAGTGTCCAACACTTCAGGGTGTCAGAAATTTCCCTTCCCCCGCCCCCCGCTTAGTAGAGAATTGAGATGGGAAGCGAGGGGAAAGCAAGTAGGCCACACACAAGAGTACTAAAGAGAAACGAGGCTTTTCGGAAACCAAGACATCCAGGAGTGTTTATACCGGTAGTTTGTGTTCCCCTCTGCACTTAGTGGCTTGTCCCGCTGACCACCTCACAGCTGCACCGAGCGGGAGGAACCACTGAGGGCTGGGAACACTGGACATTGGTTTCTGAAGAGCTTTCAGACTGCCCATGGCAACCAATTCGCTATCTTTTATTTTCACATTTTAAACTTCGTTTGAAGAGAGAAGCTTATTGTTTTTCATGGGCGACTGCTCTAGATTCTGCGTGCTCCAGTTTTGATAAATTCCCCTAATTGCAATTAGGCAATGCAGTGGCGGCCCGCACCCGGGTGCCACCATTGGGGGGTGACACCAAAATGACTGTCATTTTGGTGTCACCCCCTTCTGAAAAGTCGGGCGCTCGGTCATGGACCGAACCCCCGACAGTATCAGGATAGAGGAGGGGACCCGGCGGCATATCTTATCCCGCCGGGTGACTGTCCCCTCCTCTCTCTGCCGGCGTCCATCACCAAGATGGCTGCCGGCAGGTATCAGAATACCGCTGCGCGTGCGCAATGATGTCATCGTGCACGCGCGTGGTGACGTCTCGGCGGGGTGACACACTAAACATTGCCTCGGGACGCCCCTGAGGCAATGTTTAGTTCTGTGGACCATTAAAAATGTATACACCAAAAATGAATGCTTGAAGTGGAAGTAAAAGAGAAAATATTTTAGAAAACAGTAACACTGACCGCACGCTTTCTATGGCAGAAGAGACTGTAAATCTCTTCTGCCAGGAAAGCTTCTTGTGCCTGTGTTTTCCTGTACACTGTGCCGTGCATGTGTGGGAAAGTGCGCAGGCTCAGCATGCCAAGATGAAGTAACTGCCGTGCGCATGTGTGGGAATCATGTCATCCAGGTCTAACCAATCAAGCGGCCAAAGACTGGGCCATAGATGGAAGAGCCAGAGGGGATCAGTTTGGCAGGTGTGTCTGCCACAATGTGCATAATACACATAAGTCTGCCACAATGTGCATAATACACATTATGGCTTAAAGAAAAATTGGGAAAATCACATACTTACCCTTGAAGTGGGGC